AACAATGAAAACAGTTTATCCATTTGTTCTGAAAAAATTAAGATTTGTTTATCCAACGATATTCCCTAAATATCAAAGGTAAATGAAATAAATTGAACTATATATAATGGTACAAGTACAAATTATTATATGCATGAGAGTCCAATTCAACAAAGGATGACTGCACTTAAGGAAATGCGGAATTTGCGACAAAATAAACTTTCAAAACAAGCATTTTTCTTTTCATTGCAAGAATGCTCAACATCCAATCTACAACTTTATGTAATTACGTTTAATAAAAGTGTGTATTTACGAAGTTCGAATCTGTTTTCAAAGGCAGGGGTCATCACAATTTCTTGAATCTCCGTTCGATAATGAGGACGCCCACTTTTTTACTGACTTTATACATAGTCAGCGCATGTTTGTCTATTTTTCTACGTTTAACAGTAGTTGTATATTTGCACAAATAATAATGTGTCAAAAGGAGATTAATAGACAAACATGCGCTCATGGCAAAAAGAGAAAAACTGCTTCTTCTAACATTCGCTCTCTGTGTTGTAACCAAGGATTGTGACATGTTGAATATTATAATTCACCACGTGATTCCTTACCTCAGGTAACTTTGTGAATACTAAATTCCGTCACGTGACTTGTAAGGAAGCATGTGATGTGCTAACTAGGACATTGTGTTCGAACACGTTAAGTCATCTGGCATTGACATAAATTTGCTTTAATTACATTGACGTGCTCATATTGTTAATTTCGTTTTGAAACCTTTGTCAGAAGTGTATTTGTGCTATACAGAATGGAGAGGGAGATTGGAAAGAGTGATCACGTTCGCTTTTCAAAACATGTCATTGTTATTTATGTAGTCTAATTTTAGAGCCATTCTTACAATGTTGGCTCCACCTCTCATGCATATCTAATGTTCAATCAAGGGCAGGTAAGTGTAAATTCACTATATTTGGAAAGCAGTAAGGACAAAAAACATTCAATCATTTTATTGTATCACAGTCTAAAATCAGTTTAAGATTTAAATGTGGTTCCAAATTGACAGTATTCTTTCATAAACATACAAAAGTGAGATAAGGTTTAGATATAAAAGCAACAGAAGCAACCGAAAAGGACCCAAAAACAGGCGTTAAGTGCAGTCATCCTTTAGTCTAAGGGACAGATAATCCCAAAAAGAAAGCACCAGTCCGTGGATCTAGGACGATATATGGCCAACTTCTCTGCCACGTAAAAAAAAAATAGCTAAGCTGTAGAAACCTTTACCAGAAAATAAACTTCTGGAGGCAGTATACCACACTGGAGGAGCGACTGTTGTTAGTCACACCTGCCAACTCATGATCAATAACAGGCATCGATCCTTCATCCAAATTCAGAACACAGAGTGGGCTGCTGGAATATGTGAACTCTCAACCAGACTGAAAAAATGCACAGGTGATAAAAGAAATGGAACGCTACATCATTCTTGAAGTCGGTGAGATTTTATGGACAAGCAGTGGTATTATTTTGTTACACAGTCAGTTAGCGATCTAATATGGAGTTTGTTTGTTTGTATGTTGTTTAACGTCCCTCTCGAGAATTTTTCACTCATATGGAGACGCCACCACTTGCCGGTGGAGAGCTGCAAATTTTGTCCTATACTCGGCACTTACGGCCATTGAGCAGTGAGGGATCTTTTCTGTGCCAGCACCTACTGCGACACGGGACCATGGGTTTATACGGTCTCATCCGAAGGACCGGTCTCCACGTCCCACAGTGGGATTCGAACCCGCGACGTAAGGATCAACTTCTTACGCCGCGACTCTAGGGCAGACGCTCTAACCACTGCGCCACGCGGGCGACTCTAATACGGAGTGATATGGAGTGATACAGGGTATGAAATGGAAATCCGTATTGGGCAAGGCGAAGCGATATCCCACACTTATCACCATTATTTTGCTATGTTCCAACAGAGTATGTTGAGAATGAAGAGAAAGGCTCTTTAATGACAACCTGCAAAAAAGAAACGGCTGATGACTTTGAACTTGAATGCTGTTTGTTATCTCCATATTTCACCAAGACAGTGATACTCGTACTGGAGACAATGGTATTCAAAGGATTGGATATAAGGAAAAAACATGGAGGGAGGCAGATGAATGAAGGCAAAAATGTGTAAAAGCTTATCAACAATATCTTAGAAACTTAAAGGGAAATTATAGAATGGGTACAGGCAACTAGACAAAGAGTCAAGAAATGTGCACTATCAGACAAAGAGGTGATACCACAATAATTAAAAACAAAAAAATCCTGTCTCATGAGTGAAATAAATTCCATATCCAACTACAAAACATTGAATTTTCTGTTTATTACATTTTCTTCGATTTCCCTTTGCCTCTGTCTTTTCTTTACACAGTGTCATAGGCTGTGTCGCCGTAGTTGAGCGGTTGAGACGTCATAGCTTAGCAATTGTGAGATTGAAAACATTGTAACATGGGTGTTAGCAACATAATTTGGGAAGAAATCGGCAGTTTTTGTCTCTATCAAGACGATTTAGTTACGATATCTTCTGACAGACCAGAAACTATTTTTTACTTAGTTTGATATTCTTTCACACTGTGAGAGAATATCACTTTGGTATCCTTTCACACTGTGAGAGAATATAACTTTTATTCAATAAATAAATCACAGTATTTCACTGTTCAAAATGTAATAAAAGGGTATATTGCTGCATAAGTAAGGGAAGTTGACGATTGAAAAGTTAGAGCCATCACGTTTATAATAAAGCTTTGTTGTTAGATTACCATTAACGTCTTTTTCTGGTAAAATATCTAAATATGAAACAGATGTATACCAGACTCTGTGGTATCTTTTATGTCAAGCTCGCTGGGATATATCGTGTCGACATATGAATGGAAATAACTATTATTGATAATATGTCGTCGAAATATCTAAATGTCTAGATGAAGGCCACAGCAAGAAATTTTTTCTTCTCATATATAAGATTTTGAATAAATTCTGCTTCATATGAATACAAAAAAAGTTCTGCTAATAAAGGGCGCAAATGGTACCCATGGGAATTCCTAATCTCAGGGAATTCCAACAGATTGGTCTCCAAAAACCACATAGATATTGTCAATCAGAAACTCAAGCGTCTTATGATATCAACTTAAGAGTACTTGTGAATACAATCAGAATGTTTTTAACAAAATAATTTTGCAAATGACCAATGACAAGGTAGGTAAATTTACGAGTTCCATTTTTATTGAAAAAGCAGCTGTCAATGATGTCAAAAATCCTGGACTAAATTTTATCGTGGGGAATGGTTGTAAATAGAGTTAAATTTCAAATTTTCCAAATGATCCTTGGAATTTTTAAGTATCCACATCTGATTTACACCACTTCTCGAATATATTGTAGCACAGTACCCCTGCAGTTTCTCCTTCACTGCTGTTAATATTTTAATGAGGAGTAAAGAAAGAGGCTTGGTAGAACATTTACTGGAACCCACTTAATGTATCTTTCTTTGTAAGGATTTTATGAAGTTTTGGAATCCAATATAGATATGGTAATTCCAATTCATTTGGGTTACATAAACTTGTGAACTGGTATACATTTTTTAAAATATTGTTTACAGTTGCTACAATGGTTGCATTTGTTACAATGGTAACTTGCACTATGGGGGTAACAAAATGATAATTCTGTATTTTTATTTGTAACCAGTGACAAAAGTTACAAAAACAAGAGCCCCTTGGTTTAAAGATGATTTAGCTTTTACCATTGTAACTGATTGTAGCTAAACAAAGGTATATAGCTGTAACTAGTGTAACCTTAAAGAAAAGACCCTCTTGGGATGAAGATTATCTGTTATCATTGTAACTGATGCACTATACATTCCAGCTTCAGGACTTGGGCAGTTAAGGAGATTTGGGAGCTAGGGTTGCCCCCCCTTCCCCAGCTTTCATATTTCACATGGGCATTCCTTGTGACAAGACCTTTATTTGGGTATACCATCATATTTGACCTTGACCTTGGAGTTTGACCCAGTTTTACAAAAATTTACCCAACTTTATCCTTTGCCATAACTTTTGAACAGTTGGTGCTAAGGCTTTCATACTTTACATATGTGATCCTTGTCATAAGACCTTTTATTTTGGATACCAACAACTTTGACCCTTTAACCTTGACCTAGGAGTTTGACCTACTTTTGAAAAACATTAACTTTGGCCTTAACTTGTAAAAAAAAAAATTGGTGCTAGGGATTTCATGCTTCACATATGTAATCCTTGTGACAAGATCTTCCTCTGGATACCAACAACTTTGACCCTTTGACCTTGACCTTTGAGTTTGACATACTTTAGAAAAAAAATTAACCTTCGCCATAACTTTTGAACAGTTGTTGCTAGGGCTTTCATTTTTCAAATGTGTAATCCTTGTGACAAGTCCTTTCTTTGAATACTAACTATTGACCTTGACCTAGGACCTACTTTTGGAAAACTTTAACCTTGACCATTACTTTTGAGCAGTTGGAGCTAGGGGCTTTCTTACTTCACATATGTAATCCTTGTAACAAACCTATCTTCGGATACCAACAACTTCACCTTGGAGTTTGACCTACTTTTGAAAAACTTTAATCTTGGCCGTATCTTTTGAACGGTTGGTGCTAGGCCTTTCATATATCACATGTGTATTTCTTGTGAGAAGGCCTTTTCTTGGGCATCGTTAATTTTGCTTATTTGACTTTGATGTTTGACTTACTTTTGAAAAACTTTATTTTTTTTCCATATCTTTTCAATGGTTGCTGCTAGGATTTTCACAATATTCACAAGTTAGCATATTCCTCGGGACAAGCCCTTACTTTGGGCACAAACATATTTGATTTGCATTTGAGAAAGTTTAACCTTCGCTATAAGTTGCCATACGGGGGCATCAGTATTTCACAAACACATCTTGTTTTGTTTTTTTTTTTAAAAAAACGCGTCTATTGTAATTCGGGTTTTTCAAGGTTGTCAGTTTCGGTTTTTAAAGTTTTGTTGTAAAGATGGCTGATCAAACAGAAGGTAGATCGAAAATCTTTTTTTTTTTTTTTTCAAGCTGCAGAATTTTATAGCCCCAAATCTCTGAAAATTATTCATCTAGGTTTGATTTTGTTTACTACAGAAATTGGCTTCTCGTTATAACATGTCTAAGTGTTCTTCCATGCCGCGGCCAATTTTTACTGAACAGAAACATTCCTTTTTGTGTTAAACTGAAAGTATCCGAGTATATGGCTCTACCTGCTTTTGTCTGCCTTTGTTTGTATTTTCAGCAAAACACAGCTATGATACGTACACCAGCTAAAAGATTTTTTTGTAAACTAGGGTTCCATAAAGGTCATTAAAGATGCACAGTACATGTTCATTAACGATGTACTTTGTCAGATGATTCATAAAATGTACACATAGTGGCATTATAACATAGGAATATTTTACAAAAAGCACTGAAAGCAGTTTATAAATTTAATATTTATTGATGATCTGAAATGCATTAAAAAAAAAATCGACCATGTTGGTAGAATAACTACAAAGAATGGGTGGACTTAACGCCCTATTTTTGATCTTTTTACGACTACTCTACCAAGCTGTAAATGAAGTGAATCCAAAATATATTACAAGCAATAGAAAGAGTTACGTATACATGGTTATATTAGGTAGAACATTTGTACAAAAGCAATGCCCTGTTGCCATGAATCAAAATTGAAGCAACGATACACTAGTGTCGTCTCCTGGAATTTGGCATGTACCCGGAGTGGTTTTTAGGTCACGTAATCAATATTAATATGAGGCGGGGCTATTGATCGGCGTCATTGTTGACATCTCTCTCTCTTCCTCTCTCTCTTTCCAGAAATTCGAATATGTGTATGGCATATTACAGCGATGCCAATATGAAATTTTAAAAAATGTGAGGACGCGCAAAATTAAAACAACATTTAATTTGCTAAATTCTGAAAACGGCAACCAAACACGCTCAAAGACATGATTTAGATCGAGGTCAGGTTGAAGAATACAATGTAACTGTTTTCACGAGTACACTTGCAGGTGGACATCACATGAAGATTGTAATATTTAACAGGTCAATCGAAGTCAAATCAAGGTTAACTCAGTCATAACAATGGAAATGAGAAGTTTGTTTTGAATTTGTTTTTTGTTAAATTAAGTGTGAGCGCACGTTTGTAGGCTCTTCTCCTTTTAATATGACATTATTTTGTTCAATATACAACTACAGTTTTCTTAAGAACAGCCGACAAACATGCGCTGACTATGTATTCAGACGATGAAAAATGCGTGACCCTGATTATCTTTTGATATTCAAGAAATCTTCAGGCACCATGCCTTCGATATTTATTTAGTTTACCTCAAAAAGAGCATTTTAAATTCACATCTGTATCATGAATACACGGTTAAGATATCTTGGATTTATATGATGGAAAGAAATAAACATTTTATGAAACTTTAATTTACGGCATTTTTTCTGGCCAGTAAAGTCCACCCATTCTTTGTTCATCGTATGACAGCTACACTGCAGCTGCAGAACTGTAGCGTTATAGTTTGGCTTAATATTTTAGTCTTTGACCATAATGCTACAGATCCTGTAATGCAAATATTGTGCAATTTATGGCGCAAGATTTTCTGCGCACTTAGGGGATGTATTTCACAGTCTTCCAGCATTGGTCAATCAACGAACCTTCGTTCCCTAATTCAAGTCATATTCTATAACCAACCTGTATATTTTATCCATCTCCTAACCCTTTCTAGTCAGCTCTACCGAACCAATTAAGTCGCTTGTTGTGAATTTTATGCCATTCGACAACAAATTCACAACAAGCGAGTTTCTTGTTAATTGCACAATATTTGCATTATGGGATCTGTAGCGTTATGGTCAAAGACTAAAGTATAAAACCATAACGCTACAGTTCTGATAAAACCTGAAATAAGTCATAGTTAAACATTATAATATTTTGTGAATCTCAGGCATTTCAATGTCTGTCAGTACCCAGTACTTTTATCTAGCTGAAAGCATGATTGTAGCAGCCAAATTATGTGATGGAGAAAAATTTTATAACATTTTTAATTAAATAAATTTCTTCCACACGGTACCCTCTATATTTGTAAAAGTCTTGCCTTATCTTTTTGAAAGCCTTGGAATCTACTGTAGACATTTTCTAAATGTATGTAAAGATAAATTTATTACAGTTTACCAATGATGCACCCCAATGCAAATTCATTTCAATTCAGTTCATTGACTCAACCATATGGTACATTGGCTTGTGTGTATACATTAGTGATACTCACATACACACACACACACACACACACACCCTCACACACACAAAATATAACTCCTTATCTCTTATCACTAGCGCAACTCCATTGTTTTCAGGAAACTCCAGGGTGTTTGTAAACAAATGCTGTTGTAGCCTCATTTATGCATGCAGTCAAGTTCAAGAATGAGACGCAAATTACACAATATATTGTTTCCACCATATTTTACGTAAAATCAGTAAGAACTTTTCCCTTTATGCAGTCTCATATATATATCTACATATGTAGATATGGTGTAAATCAGATGTGGATACTTAAAAATTCCAAGGAACTTTTGGAAAATTTGAAATCACAAGATTTTACCAAAATCAACAGCTTAAAAACTTACGACTTTTCAACTTTATACACAACCATTCCCCACAATAAATTAAAGTCCAGGCTTTTTGATATCATTGACAGCTGCTTTTTCAATAAAAATGGAACTCGTAAATATACTTACCTTGTCATTGGTCATTTGCAAAATTATTTTGTTAAAAAACATTCTGATTGTTCACACAAGTACTCTGAAGTTGACACTAAAAAGATGCTTGAGTTTCTGATTGACAATATCTATGTGATTTTTGGAGACCAGGTCTTCCAACAATCTATTGGAATTCCCATGGGTACCAATTGTGGCCCGTTATTAGCAGACCTTTTTTTTGTATTCATATGAAGCAGAATTTGTCCAAAATCTTGTACGTGAAAAGAAGAAAACACTTGCTGTGGCCTTCAACTCGACATTTAGATATATCGACGACGTATTGTCAATTAACAATGGCTATTTCCATTCTACGATATATCCTTGTGAACTTGAGATAAAAGATACCACAGAGTCTGACACATCTGTTTCATATTTGGATATTTTACTTGAAAAAGACGTTAATGGTAATCTAACAACCAAGCTTTATGATAAACGTGATGACTTTAACTTTTCAATCGTCAACTTCCCTTAATATGCAGCAATATACCTTCATCACCTGCATCCAGGGTATATATCTCTCAGTTGATTCGATACGCAAGAGCATGCTCTACTTATGTACAATTTCTAAAACGAGGTAAATTATTGACAAATAAGTTGATGAAACAAGAATATCAGCTGTCTCGTTTAAAGTCATCATTTCGTAAGTTCTATGGTCGATACAATGACCTTGTCAGTAAATACAATTTATCATTGAGTCAAATGCTGACTGACGTTTTTCATACTAATTGTTAGGCCATTATTTACACACTGAATTGTCGACAGATTTTTCTGTTATTTCCCGATCATGACAAGGAGCACACGGCGGGTGTGACCGGTCGGCAGGGGATGCTCACTCCTCCATGGCACCTGATCCCACCTCTGATGTTTGGAGGTCCGTGTTTGCTCAGCTCCTATTTTGTATTGATTAATGGACTTTTGAGCTTGAAAACTGTTCGTTATCTCCATATATTTCATACAAGTACCCACATTTACATCCATCAGTCATTTGAAGAAAGATTGATATGAAAGGTTTCACATCAGGGTTTGAAACTAACAATTGCCTACTCGCAATTTGCGTCTAATGTTCCATGTGGGCGACTTAAAATTACATTCAAGTTGCCCACATGGCGATTAGAAAATTTACAATAATAAATTATTTTTTTTTAATTTTGTCCGAATGTTTTGTATTTTTCTCTTGAAAAATTTCGTAATTAGTAAAGTGCTTTATAATTACCCGTAAGAAGTACTTATACATAAAGCGTTGATTGTGTCGGGCACAATGTAGCATCGACGGGTCAATGAGCCCAAGAAACCAAAATGTACTGTTGTTATTTGTGAATGAAAACGTGCCATGTGCTCTATATACGATATTGAATGATCATATCAATCTTCATAAACAGAAGAGTTCCACTTCAAATTTAGATAAGTCGTGCATAATGTTACAACAGATTGAAAAGAAACACGAAGCACATGATTAAAAAAACGAAAAATGGGGTTGTTGTTTTTATATTCAATAGAAGGTGGGCGAATAAATTTTGATGTGTGCCCCGGAATTGCAAGGTTCAGTAGCCCACATGGCTATCAAAGATTACAAGTTAGTTTAAAGCCCTGCACATGACATAACATTTCAAGAAAGGCTAAGAATATCTTGAGTCTTTAAATAGTTAATTAATGAATACTGTGCTTTTGGTGGGGAAATTAAAGCATATATATAGGATTTCCCATGACTTGTGGTTGGATATGATTTTTATCCAACAAGTTGTGTGTTTTTTATCCCCTAGCCTTGATGAGGGGAAAAAAACATACATCGAGTTGGATAAAAATCATATCCATGCAACCACAAGTCATGGGAGATTCTTTTTATCACATGTTTTGTACATCAACATCAATGTTTTACACTGTTTTCATAAATTAATCTACATTATCTTACTACTTATCACTTTTATGAAAACCCATTGTGACATCACTGCAGTGGGATATGAAAAAAATATCCCATGAGTGATATCCTCGGGATAAAGGTGTAAACGTGTTAAAATACAAGAAACAATTCCCAAAGAAAGAGACAAAAAAGCGGTGTCATAAATTGAAGGTTTTTACATTAATGCTCAGAGATATGTTGACCAAAAAGTAGGTCATAGTGACACAGTTATTCAGGCCCTTGGGTCTCTTGGTTTAATACCTTTTCATATTATATAGAGTGCCTAAGTGATAGAGTTACATTCATAGGTTTATAAGGTCATATCTACGTGTTGAATTTTTGCAATTGAAAAACCAAACAAAAAATAATTATTTAGAAAGTAATGCAGTGTGTTTTCTGCTTATGGTTATGAGGTTATGGTACTTTGGGATATATATTATATATCAGGCCCTCTTTGGAATTAGAAACACATTTACTAATTAAAATCCTGCATTATGAGTGGGCTAGCACAGTACATGTAGGTGAATGAAATATATTAGCTGACTAATAAGATCTTAATGGTTTTATTAATCCCCTAGAGTTCCTATGTCTATACAGGCTTTGAGGAAGTCTTGTTATATTGACTATCTGATATTCTTGGAAAAGTTCACCTAGAATTCTTTGTGCAATGTTTTTTAATCTCCCTAGCCAAATGCCCTGGAAAGCTTTTCTGATCAAAGCTTGATTTTTGTCTGTTAAATTTTCACATTTTTGACATCTTTTCCAGAAACTCTGTTTCATTTTCAACCAAACTTTACGCAAATGAGTCGTTGTTGATAGTTGCCAGTTCCATTGTCATATTATAATTAAGAAATAATGAAAATAAGATGGGGTCATTTAAATCTCTTCTAAAGAAACACTAGGCCATAATAAATCATTTCAATGTGGAAGCATCTCCATGTAGTTTAGATTTAAATTTGTTCAAATCATTCCACCCTTCCTTTGGGTTAGGATGGGGTCACAATAGGGGAGATGACTAAAGCACAATAGTTATTTGTTTCTCAACATAAACTTCCAGAAAAGTGTCATTTGATTGGATTTGTATACACCTTTATTTTCACACACTGTTTATAGTAGCAAGACCCAGCATGCACAAACATGGTTATGATAATGTTCCTGGCAATCAATTAAAAAATAATACAAGTGAATCCTAAATCCAATAAGCTAATGCATAGTTTTTAAGAAAAAGATCTATCTTGAAGCAAATGTCTTGGAACCATAATTTTTAACTTTCTGACACTTTTAACTTTTTTCCAGCATTCCTTAATTGAGCTATCAGAAAAATGCTTATTCCCTTTACACACCTGAAATTTGCATTATGTTGGAAATTTTATTGTACCTTCAGATATATTTTGTTTCTGAGGGCCTTTTTAAAAGATCCACACAATACATATGACTCCACACTATACATGTACCATAAGAATAATTTCAACTTCACCTTTTAGGTGTTTACTTTAAGATGTGATGTTATTTTAGAAATTGACGGCCACATAAAATAAAGTAACACCTCTAACCTACACAGTATTGCACAGAATTTTCATGAGTTTTCATGCAATCTTTAAAACAATACAAAATTCTTAACATTAAAATTGATTCAAACATCTCATGAAAATTTGATGTACCCCTAGACACTAGTATTTCATTCAGATGATTATGAATTTAACTACAACAAACTGTTGAGAATTTTAGGAACAAATATTTTGATACCAAATTCAAGTGTATAATTATTTATAATATTTCTGTTCAAAACATAAACGTCCAGGAACTAAACCCTCATATATTATACATATATTATACATCTATTTACTAGCTATGAGGACAATAGCAAGTTTATTGTCCCTCAAGACAGCAACTATTTTCTGAGACACGTCTGAGGGAAATAGTTGCTGTTGAGGGGGACATTAAACTTGCTATTGTCCAAATAGTCAGTAAATAGGTGTTTTATTATACTGGAGTGGAGTGGCCTTTACTTCACGATATGGATAAAACCAGAAAAGTTCCGAGATGAATTCAAAAAATGAGGAAATTGAATGTTGCTGGTGAATAGTTTCACCATGGGCAAATAGCACAAGAACTATTTGTGGTTGTTTAGGAAAAAATAGCAGGTTTATTAGTCATATTTTTATAAAGAAAAAAATACACAGAGGTATAATATAGATAGAAATAAGTCTAATTAAGGGGTCTCCCCCTTATTAAGTGTAGCAGGGATATACCCGGTACACTAGTTAGTCATTTTAAAATACAAATATCTCAGTGTATTACTAAATAATGTACGTTCATTTTATTCCACAATGCCCTATGTGGCTAGAGTGTTGCTTAATAGGTGCTTTAAATTTTATATAGAAGTATATATACACCTCTGCAAGAACAAGAAGGCCACATTTTTTTAAGAGACCTAAAAAAAAACCTGCAAATTAAAAATGTTGCAGTTAACAGCTTCAGTTTCAATGTTTTTACATGAATGCTTATGCATACATTCAAAAAGGTAATTGATTTCAGATGCCCTTTTTCTGCTTTTTGTAAAAATCTACTTCTCTCAAATTTGCCAGTATTTCCACTTAACCAGGGACCAAGTTTACCAGCCATGCAGGTGGGAAACCCTCTTATGAACCAGAGAAGTCCCCACTGGAAGCAGGAAAACCCACTATTCACAGTCCCGAGAAGAGAAAGGCTAGTGATGAGCCCTCACAACCAGCTAAAGCACAGAAATTTGCCATGAAGTTAGGCTCTAAATCAGCAAACAAGCTGCCAAATACCGAGTCGGCCAATGAAAAGAAAGCTAAAGCAGCACCAATTAAAATCTCTCTCTCATCACAGGTACATATTTTATGCAGCTAATGTAGTATATTATTTCTTTCTATTTACTCAATTTGTGAATGCAGTTTGAATAAAATCTTGTACTATGGTATACACTGATGAGGCATAATTATGTTTGCTATTTTTAGCCAAAGGAAGTAGCCCCTATCTTACCCAAGACTAAGAAAATAGCTTCTGTTTTTAACGAGGAAGAGGTGAGAATTACACGAGTCATTCTTCGCTTTAAATTTGATATCCTTAATTGATTGCTTGATTCTAATGGATCATTCACCCTATGCTTATTTACTAATGCAAAATTTCTCTAGTAGCTGATTTTTAGTGAAATTAGTGGTCTAGTTTACGAACTTAATAATAACCACGCCCAAGAGACAATACTTATGAAACCATAGCTATAAATAAAGCTTGACCAAGAACTGACCCTAGGCGTTGGAGGCTAGCCATTTAATACCTCCAAGTATGACTTTGGAAAAAAGGAATCACAATGGATCTATTCCTGTAATGAGTTTTCTGATTGAGCATGATTAGTCCTCGCACCTGATAACAGCATCACCCTTGGATGACCAATACTGCACTCTCTTCCTGATCTTTTGTAGCTAAAAGGTTAATGTCCTGTAAGAGGGACTAACCAGGAATTACATCAAGATTTAATTAAGTCCTAATGTGCTGGACATTTCTTGATGAGTCTGACATACACAAATAGACAATGATCCAGGGCTTTTATGAAACATGTTGTAGAGTGTAGGGTCTAAAAAAAATCAATTAGATTTCAGGAGGTAAAAAAAAATTGAGTTAATTAAATAATGATATAAGATTCAGAGTTTTGGATAAAGTAAATGGTAGTGTTTTAGAAGACACTAATTTGACTGTTTTTAAGTGAACATGTGTGTAATGTGCATGTTGCTTCTACTGTGTCATATTGCCATTCAATTTGTTATATTCTTATTCTCATAAGCTGTTTTTACACAAGAAACAGGCACTTGTCTGGTATCTGGTTTGATTTATACAGCTTACACATACCAAGCACATTACATTATTTTATACATGTAGTAGATGAGAAAGCATCTATATGTAGGTTAGCAGGTGTCAAAATCAATTCGCTTTGAATTCTGTGTTGTTCAAGAGAAAAAGACAATTTTACAAGTACATGTATCACAAGTTCTACAAATTAGTACTCTTAAGTATTAAATTTGATTCTAAAGTCAAAATTGTATGTGTCAACCTACCATCTCTTTCTTTTTGGCAAAGTTATAAATACCAGTAGTGTAAAATTCTTCTCTGGACATAACTTTGTGAACAAGAAACTTAAGAAACTGGTACTTGGTACAAAGGTTGAGATCAGAAAAGGTAGTGGCCTTGTACCAAGGTTATTTGTAGGAGGACAAGGTCACAAGGTACAGAAGTGTTGAATGATTGTTGTACTATAAACTTCAAATAAAGAAACAATAGAAGGTTATACTTGGCATAGTTCTGTTTGCAACTGGAAGGTTTATCATGATTCTATATACCATTATCATTTGGACAAGGTCACTGAGCTGGAAGTGTCAAATTTTTGTCCATAGGATAACTTGTAAGGGAGTAATAAAGGGTCATACTTCATATCACCTCTGATTATGAGCATAAGATATGTCATAATCCTGACAAGGAAAGGTCACATGAGCCGAGAGTGTAAAATTTTTAAAGGACTTAGTAATGTAAAATTCTTAAAGACGTATCTTTTTTCTATAAGAAGAGCATTAGAAGTCTTTGAAAATTAATTTGTTTTAGTTTACCCCCTGCAGTGGGTAATAGTCCAGTTGGAATCAGGATGAAAACTTAATCATGTCACAAATAAATATTTCAGAGTGATGAAGAAGAGGAGATGCCACCAGAGGCTAAGATGAGGATGAAGAATGTGGGAAGGTAAGACTTCAAGATTGACCTAAAAAGGCATTTTCAGATTGCACGATAAAAAATTAATTTACAATAACTGTGTTGAAAATTCTTCTTCCCTTTGTGACCTTAATTAGTCAAATTAACATGCATCCTCATGTAGTATATCTTCAAATCCTGGATGTGATAGAGGGTTAACGTTTTACATAAGAATATCAGGAAGTTCTTAAATATGCAACCATCCCCATATAATGCATATTCAATATTCAATTTTATTCCAGTCATGGCCCCTAGAACTAGGGTGGGGGCACAATCAGGTAACAATATTTTACCCAGAAATATAAAAACCTGCAAGGAGAATGCCATCCTCACAACATCAGGGGTCCTGAGTCAACTCGTTGAATGAAAATTTTAGAAATACTCAATTTTAATTTGAATGTCACAGTAAGGGATTTCTTTTATCTATGAAACTATGTATTAATTTGTCAACAAACAAATAGAGACTCAGGTAAGCAGTGTGGCCCATGTGCATTTTGTTCTCATTAGACTCCATATCAAATGAAAAAAGCTCAAATTTTTCTCAAGTGAAACAAAGTCAGGGTTAGAATAACATTAATGTCTTTATGTCTTACTGGTAGATTTGCTAAATAAGTGACATTGTTTGAAGCGAGCACTCTACTGACTGAGCTACTGTGAAGGTCATTTACTGATGAAGAAAACTTTAAAAAAAAATTATTGTCTTGCAGAGATACTCCCACATCAACAGGTCCAAACTCTTTTGGAAAAGGACGGCTAGGATTCAGTGATAGAAACAGCCTGTTCCAGAAGGAAATGTTGAAGCAAATGAATGATGTGTGTGACGATTGATGAGGACTGAAAACTTTCTGGAGCTTAATGAAATTTCAATTCTGACAGATAATTATCTGGTGTACATTGCACTGGTATATACATGTATGTAAATATTTATGTGGAAAAAAAAATTGTAATATTCATACATCTAGATTTTCAACAAAATACTGGTACAATATGCCAGTAAACAGTATGAAATTTTTACCTATAAAATGCTAATGTGAGACATCCATATACAGAAACCAACCTTCAAGCAATGGAAGCTCTTAGATTTTAGGACTTTTGTGTCAGTTATGAAAAATAGATATTCTGTATCAGAATTCCATGAGTTGCATATAAATTTTGTCATACACAAAACCTCAATATTTCTAGGAGTTTCCATATGGAAGGAATCTACGTACAGCCATATTATCTATATGACCAAAACTTTCCCATGAAAAAAGTAATAAATGTGTAACTAAATCTGACCATATATTCATCTTTTTACATTCTATAAAAGATGTGTTTGAATTTTCATTTATGAAATTATATACAATGTATACTACATTTATGTGTGCCCATGAAATGTATTTAAAAGCAAAGTATTCAGTATTTTATTCATTGTAGCTTAACTTAGCTGGAATTCAAGGTAGCTTTTCTGACTGAGGTATGTCAAGTGTATAGCCTTAAAAAATCGAACATTTCAAATTCTTCTCCAGAGCTGCAATTCCAGAGCTGTAATTCAACATCAAGTGATCTTGCAATAATTTTAATGGGCCATTAAAGCACTGTTAAAATCTTCATTGACTATGTCAGAAATTATTTATAGTTTAGTGAATTTCACAGAAAGGCTTTCATTGCGCTGAAGATGATCAGATTTCGTGGATACTTATTGCACCAAGATCATAAAAGGAAAACAACAAGACTGTAATTAGTCTAAAAACATTTCAATCCTAGCTATGAAATTTACACACAATAACTGAGTTCTTCAAAGGGTAATATCAGATAGAAAGTAGAACATTATAATTATTAAACTGAAGATATTAGGAATTTTAAATTATACAAAATTTTGGGGAAAATCACTGAAGAAAGTATTGAAACTAGATCTGATAGGATCAAAAAGAGGTTAGCCAAATAAATGTAAATGGAGGGTTATATACATGTTCAACTGTACATCTTTATTATTTTTTTTTAGGTTCTGTCTATTGCCAAATTCCATTCCTACAAACATAAAATATTGTTATACCCCCCGCAAACGAAGTTTAGGGGGGTATATTGGAATCAGCATGTCCGTCTGTCTGTAGATGAGATTTTGTCCGGACCATTTCTTGGAAACTGTTGGAAGGATTTGCCTGAAAATTTGTACACTTATTATTCGCCATATGAAGGTGTGCACCGGGTATTTTCATTATGATTGGATAATTTTTTTGCATTTTACAGGTGTTTTTTCATTTTATTATGTGGTTTTGTCTGGATCTGTTCCCAGAAACTATTGCATAGATTTGTATGAAAATTTGTACACTTATTATTTACCATATGAAGATGTGCACCTGGTATTTTCAACATTATTTGATAATTTTTCTGCATTTTACAGGTGTGGTTTTTTTTTTAATTTTTATTGACTTAGTCATTTCGGGTTCATGTCTAAGGTTTGAGACATAGAATCTAGAACATCTGTACAAAAATGTGAACTACAGCTTAAAACTACTCATTAGAACTAAAAAAAAAAAAAAAACACAAAGTATTAAAAACAGTAAGTATTAAAAACAGTTTTTACATTACACAGCAGATAGTGTAAATCCATTTGTCCCTTGGGAGTAATGAGTGGACAGGCATCCAGTTAAAGATTAATTAATGAGTTCAGTGTGGGAAGCTGTTAGGGCATCTCTGATCAAGCAGGTCTTATCTATATCTCCGGGGAATTGGGCAGAAAGAAATAAAGATCTCTGTTGTCTAAGTCTCTTAACTGTTATTTATGTCTGTCAAAATACATAGTTACTAAAACCAGCCTTTTATTTTTAAAATGAGTTTGATATAAAGGTACATGTATTAAAATCAATTTGATTTTGTATAATTAATTATGATTTTTTTTTTCAACAATCAATTTGCAGAGTGTCATGTCTCACAAAGATGACAGATAGTTGCAAACTATTTTTTCAATGTAATAAAAAACACTGTAATTATTAGTGTTGATGTTTTATTAGGCTGCACCTTAGTTTCATTCATTAAATAAAGTGCCCCACCACAGCGTTATACACCCATCAAATATTGTTAAATTATCATAAACAGTTTAGATTCAATTGTTCGAATGACATCTTAGCGAGATAAGGCAGTCTGCAATTTGTTGTAAAGATATAAAAATTCAAAAAAAAAATGTACAATAAATAATTAGTTTAAATTATATCATATAAGTTTTAATTATTATATACAATATCAAATTAGTTTTAATTGCATCAAATTTATCTTGAAAGTAAGACTAGCCAACAAGAACAATTCAATACAACACAAGCAATTAATTAAGAGACTGATTCCTTTTGCCCATTTCCCAAGAGATGTAGATAACACGTGCTTGATCAGAGATGCTCTACCAGTTATCTCCTCACACTAAACTCATTAATTTATCTCTAATTTGACATGCAATTTTCTGCTATCAAAATTTTCCTTGACCAGTGCCTGATCATTACACCCATGGGAGAGGTGGAATTTTTCTTGTTACAGATTGCTGTAAAGAACATAATGAAAGAAATAAGACTAGTATTTTCTTGATTTAACACTTTTTTAATAAAGATACTGCAATACTCTGACATCTTTTGGGATTGTGTAATTTAAAAGTTAAAAGACATAGTTGTTTGATTCAAAGTCTAATGGTTTTCTAGTTATGATTTTTCCATATTTGGCCATAGCGTCTTTATTAAAGGTCAGAGCGACCTGGTTTTAATGTGCGACACACCGTTTACCCTAGATGTATCAGCTGACAAAGTTTGATAATTCTAGGCCTAATACTACTAAAGTTATGAGTCAGACATGAAAAAGCTAACAGACGGACGGACGGACATGAACGCTATAATATAATACGTCCCGTCTTAAGACGGACGTATAAAAAAATATAATGAGTAATTAAATTTTCACTGTAAATGTTTAAGGAAATTGTGAACACCTCTCACATCTAGAAAACATTAGTGATTTGGTACTTTCTCTGAAAAACCCAGCGGGGTGTATTTGTCCATGCCTCTGATTTGCCATTCTTACAAGGGGATGTTTGAAAGATGTAATTAACCTTGAATAAAAGTTTTAATAAATTAAAAACTAACTGATATATGTTAACCCTAACCTTGAGTTTTGTCAGTCATTACAACAAAATGCCCTTAAACTCTGATAATATTCACACAGTTTGAGCCACAGTTAAATTTTAAATGACGGAGAACACTGATATCAAACTGACATGAACCTCTGTTGCACATTTCCATTATATATTTTGATGTGCAATTCCTCTGAAGTATACCATTTTTAAGGAAAATATCAAGGTCTTTAGAATACAACCAAAACTGACTCCTTAAATGTTTTAGCTTTATTTTGGAAAATGTGTTATTACCAACTAAGGGACCTGGCCACAGAGAATGAACATGGTTGACCCCATCTTCCCCCCCCCCCCCCCTTACCTCTGAAGACACAAAACCACTCTAGGCAGGTTTTTTAAGCCTGTCAGTTTTGGGAACTTTGGTGCAATTGCTACTCAGTATATTCAAAATAAACCCAAGTCATATGCCATCAAATTCGTTGTAAATATTCCTGGAACATACATGTACCAAGTCACTGGATTTTCAGTATGTGATTGCAATTAAGGTTCATGATTGAATCATTTTCATGGCAAATAGGACCCAGCAAGGTCTATAGGAAGGTCCCTCTGTCTGCACCATTAGATTTCTATTCCTCTGCAGGACCATTGCTGACTGGTCAGTTTTCTAGATAAGAATCTGTTGATATGTGAGCTTTGTGGTCCATTGGCAAAAGGATGACCGCACTTAAGAACATGCGAAAATTGTGACAAAACAAAGAAGATGGGTGAACAAAGCGTGCAGAATGCCTATAGCTTCAGATATTTAAAAAAATATATTCAATATGTGAATTAAGTATTTAAAGTAAAGTTCTCATTATTGAAATTTATGAAGTTATAATCAACAAAACTTTTCTGAGGAAAAAAGATCTCGGAAAAAAATTATTCTTTATGAAAAAAATAAAATTGTATTCGTGGGATTCGAACCCCTATCAATAAAAATCATTATGCTTTGAGACTAACACGCTAACCACTACGCTACACAGCTCCTGATAAATAGTGGCATTTAAACCATATTTGTGATATCACCCTTGACTTAATGGACTTCAAGTATTTCTCGGAAAGATGCGAATGCTTTGTCATAAAAGTGTATTTTTAAGGTATAGTGGGTCTTTGCTCCATGTTTTTGTAAACCAAAAAATGTATATTTTTATGCAAACTTTTAGGATTAACTTTCAAAAATATGGAGCAAAGACCCACTCATATCGAAAAAGTTTGTTAAAGTATGAGAAAATGATCCTTTTTGTCCTCTTTAGTGTGTGTATGCTCTTTCGTAGGCAAATAATTTCAGTCTTTGTGAGATTTTTGTAAATTGTAGAGATTTTACATAAAGTGTACTTTAATAATAGATGAAATATCAAAGAAAATTTTTATATAAATGAGATTTTATTTTTCACTTCATGTTTGTCGCACTATAGGCACTTCGCCCGCCTTGTTCACCCATCTTCTTTCAAAACAAGCATTTTTCTTTTAATTGCACGAATGGTCAACATCTAATCTACAACTTTATGTAATTACATTAAATAAAAGTACGTATTTACGAAGTACGAAGCTGTTTTCTAAGGCGGGGGTCATCACAATTCCTTGAATCTCCGTACGATAATGAGGACGCCCACTTTTTCACTGACTTTATACATAGTCAGCGCATGTTTGTCTATTGTTCTCCGTTTAACAGTAGTTGTATATTTGCATTAACAATGTTGTGTCAAAGGGAGATTAATAGACAAACATGCGCTCTTGGTTTAAACGAGAAAAAACTGCTTCTTCTTACATTCGCTCTCTCTATTGTAACCAAGGGTTGTGACATGTTGAATATTATAATTCACACGTGATTTCTTACCTCAGGTAACTCTGTGAATACTAAATTCCGTCACGTGACTTGTAAGGTAGCATGTTTTGTGCTAACTAGGACAAAGTGCTCGAACACGTTAAATTGTTAGGCATCGATTTAAAAGATTCTTTACTTACATGGACGTCGCTCATATTGTTAATTTCGTTTTTGAAACCTCTGAAAATAGTGTACTTGTGCCATACAGCATAAAGAGGGAATGGGAAAGAGTGATCTCGTATTTTTTTAATACATGTCATTGTTATTTATCTAGTCTAACTTTAGACCCATTCTTACAATATTAGCTCCTACTCTCATGCATACCTAATGTTTAATCAAGGGCAGGTAAGTGTAAATTCTCTATATTTGGAAAGAGTAAGGACAGAAAACATAGAATCATTTTATTGTATCACAGTCCAAGATCATTTTAATATTTAAATTCGGCTCGAAATTGACAGGATTCTTTCATAAATATATAAAAATGAAATAAGATTATGATATAAAAGCAACAGAAGCGACCGAAAAAGACCCAAAACCCGGCGTTAAGTGCAGTCATCCTTTGCAATAAGTGTTGAATAATCTGGCAAATTTAAGGGAACCAGTGGTGTCTGGATAAGACATGTTTTACTGTACTATTTAAAAAAAGCAATTGGTACAAATATTTTATTTCTGTGAATTAAAAGAATCTTTGATATTTTCAAATTTCTCATTCATTGATTCTGTATTACAAATTGTATGTGAATTTTAGATTTTGTCTAAATCTTATTTCAGAATTAAGAAATGGTTGATGGCTATAATGACCTCAAAGATATAAGCTAGGCCTGACAATTAAGTTTACAAAATGTAGACATTTCTCTTATGAAATAAGTTGATACAGACCTTACTGATGAAGCAATTGAACAAAACAACAAAATATAATCAAAAGTTAAAAGGATTAAAATGATAAAAGCTATCACAGATAACTTAAACATATATGTATACATATTGATAATTAAATATATATACATACTGATACCTAAAATTAACTAAATAAATTCAATTTAAACAAAAAGAGCCATTTGAATTGCATAGGATGAGTGCATTTATCATTTCTTTTAAGCAGTTAAATAGATTTGTACATATTTCTAATTTTCTTACTACTACATGTAATATTCAGACATGAACGAAGCCAATCTTAACATTTTTGATATTTGGCAATATCTGCATTTTAGAGATTCTCTCTAAGATGTACATGTATATGTACGTGTATGTTATATCATTATAAATAAAAATAGTTCATTTTTTACATCTAAAATTATTGACATGAAAAAAGCAGCTTTGCAATGTTTATATATAAAGCAGGATCTACGTCTTTGCCATATTTTAAGAACACTGCAACATGGAAGTTTGATTTCATCTTTCCACCAACTCAGGATAGTAAGGAAGCGGCATCCTCTACTGACCCTGCCTGTAATAAAATGTCCCTTAAGGTATCCTGGTCATATGAAGGAAACATACGCTGTAGCTCCCTGAGTGAAGGATCATCATAGGTGTTCCCAAGTGAAAGATTACCAACAGTGTTCACAAAGGGGGGATCCCCATTATTATGGAGGGTGTCACCAGATGAGGCTGCTTCTCTCTTCTCCTAGTTAAATTGTAAAGTTTTAGATACTTTAGTAAATTCAATATATCAGTTAGAATTAGTATGCATATATTAAAGAGAATTGGAAAAAAGGGATGCTCAATTTGCAAGGTTTAAGGCTTAAGTTTGTTTTCCCTTTGGCAATGACCACAATTTTGACCTAATGGCAGTTTATAATTAATATTTTACTCATAGTATTAAAATCGCTATACATATTGCATACATAGTTTCACATGCAATTCGAACAAAAATATTAACTTGGAGAAAAATACATAAAAACTGATGACTAATAGAGAGGGGATTTTTGAAGGTAAGTCAATCGCAAGGACCTGGGAATCGAACTAAATTTTAATTCCAGTCACACAGTCTGAAAGAAAAATATTTACATATTAAAAAAAACACCCCAGTATATATATACATACTGTTTCAACAACAGGCACTGTACTGGCACTGGGTTGACTATATTTTGATCTGGACTTTGATTTCTGTTCTGCCTCAATTCTTTTAAGGAAAGCCTCATTTTTCGTGCGATGGTCCTCCTGCAGCCTTTGTTGTCTCTCTGCCTCAGACCTTGTGTTCTGCTGAGCTTTCCTCCTCTGTTCAGCTTTCATTTTTGAAATCTCTTCCTCATCTCTCCTCTTCACAGCATCTCGTGCGGCCTGTCTTTTCTGAATACTGTCAAACTTTGACGATTTGTGGGTTTGAGCTTGCTGATGCCGAGCCTCATTCTCAGTTTTCTGTGCTCCACCAACTGTTCCAACGTAGCTCACATGCCCAAGCCTGTTGTTTTCCTTATGCCTAGAGAGAAATTATGTGATCAAAGAAGAACAACTCATATTATCCATGAGAATAACTGGTGATGAGTGATAATGGAGATACAAATATCACTGCTGTGGTTCTTGCAGAAGTTATTCCCCTTTATGAATATATTAAATTGATGATTTTAGAAGTCTCAGGGCTCTCGCATCCCTATTGGTACATTGGCTGAGGCCATTCAAATTTTGAAAATTAGCAGTTTTTGGGAAAGTCAACATAAAGAAAAAAGTTTAATTTTTAAAAATCCATAATTCTGTTGTTTCATTAATTATCAATTACCTTTTATGATTGAAATAACAAATGGGAAAAGAACCATTCAGTCATTCAGTTAAAGAAAAAAGAACCAATTGAACATGGATTTTTCATTGTGAAAGAGTTGTTCAGTGGCCCCAAATATAGACAATCAAAAGCCCTAAAAAATTAGAGAAAAACTATACCAAGGTTTAATTAAGGTAAATAATTATATCTGTCAGGTAGATTTGGTTTACTTTACAAGGCCTGTTTTTATGATTCAGAAGTGCAACAAGAAGGGTGGAAGACCACAGAATTTAAACTAAGCTCCCTCCAAACAGGTGCTTTAACAACCACTGGCGGCTAGGCTACTGGACACTGGCAAACACCTGGCTCGCCTGACTGCCACATTTCCCCCTATTAAATTAAAATTCCCTTGAAGCAGGTGCTTTAACAATCAAGCTACTGTACACTGGCAAACATCCTGCCTGACCGCCACATTTCCCCCTATTAAATTAATGTCTCTATCCCTAAATACACCAATTTAAGCTAGCCGGCTGGGCTTATGCCTGGTAGGCTTTCACAAATCTTTTCATCGGCAATGGGAAAAACATTACTTTATATTGACTTACTTATGTATACCTAATTGATATATGTATAGATAAAAGATCAATTAGGTATACATATCTATAAATGGAGACCCAAGTACCTGTGGTTTAGACAACAAGTCTTTGTATTGTACCTCTGATAGGCCTCTTCCTCCCGCCTGGCTTGTTCTGCAACCTGTTGCCGTTTCCTTTCATTGGGAGTTATCATTGTAAAGGCTCCTTGGTGGCTCATTCTCTGTTCCATCCCGGCGCCCGCTCCCCCGGGCTGTCGACCGACAGTTCCATCCCCAAGCTGTCCCTGATCTTTATCCATATCAGCTTGTGTTGATCGTGTTGCTAGTCTGTCTGTCTGTGTTCTCACAGTTGTTCCTCCTCTCGCCCTCCCTCGCCCTACCGACGGTTGGTTTGTAGGTGCACCCCTTCCTCTGCCCTGACTGTATGCTACAGATGGTTTCACTGTGAATGATCTACTCATACTTGTGTATGCCTTTTGTTGTTTTATAATTAGATCCTGGGAATTCTGTTTTATATTGACTTTCTAAAAATTTCCTTCAATTTTCGGTTTCACTTTGTTGTTGACATTTGCAACCACGACTTCAAACGCTAAAGAGTTCTAAAATAAAGGGAAACAACTTATATTAATGTAATGTATATGCACAGGAGTCGGCAGTTTTATCCATAAAACAACGTAAACAACAACCAGTGAGCTTCGCGAGCGTAGCGAGCTCACTGGTTGTTGTTTACGTTGTTTTATGGATAAAACTGCCGACTCCTGTGGTATATGGGACTTGCTAAATTTTGCAAAATTTGATATAATGATAACAATACAACATATATTTTAGTACATACAGTATCTGCCCATAAATGAGTCATAATTTTATTTTCCACTATATATTGCATTGAAAAATGCATTTACTAGTATTCTAAAATATTACTGCAGACTCGGACTTATTTGTTGCTCATTTTTTATGATTAAAACACCATGAAATGTAGAATCCTTTGTAGTTTCTTCAAATAATTTTATCTGTAGGCATTGCGGTGATATCACTTGTCATATGCCAAATAAAAATTTTACGACTCTAATTAATTTGTTAAGAAATCAATGTAATTTTTTGTCTTGACGATTTCATAAATTATTCTCAATGATTATTGTATCATTTTGTTTAGCATTTTATGACAAGAAAATTTGAATAATTCTGCATGATAAAGTGAAAAAATCATTGAAATTGAGCTAAAATTGACCTCACAATAAGTTTATATATATATATATATATATATATATATATATATATATATATATATATATATATATATATATATATATATATATATATATATATATATATATATATATATATATATATATATATATGTGTGTGTGTGTGTGTGTGTGTGTGGTAGTGTAAGCTTTGTGGGGCTTTGGCTCGACTTCGACTACGACTGTGAACGAATCGCCATTTCGGTATTCATCCGCCAGGAGTTTTCCCGCAAAGTGACGTCATTCGCCATGGTCTTCAAACGGAAGTGACCTTTAGCTGAATTTCCGGAAGTTCCACATGTAAACAGTGAAGTAACCGTGGACTGTGAACTACATTGAATTTGAGGTACTGTTTTATTAACTTACAGTGTGTGTTACAACGTAAGTGAACTGGTGGACAACAAGACCGAATGATTAAACTTATGGATAAAGTTCAAGACTTTTAAATTTATTTTTTTGTCTACATTTGATTTTTGCTTGCAAACTTGCAGGAAAGACTTTGTCATTTGACATTTCTTATATTGATAATTTAGCATACACTTTGACCGTGTGTGTAGATATTGGTCTACACTATATTGTATACATATAGATTGATTTTTCTTTTGCATGAACTGATATATTTTTGTGTGTGTGTGCATTAGAAGGTTATAATATATAAGCATCTGTTTTACAACTTTTTGGTGCAATATGAGCATGTTTATATGCTAAGATTATCTACTCTGAAGTTGAGTGACCTTGACCGGAAGTAACCTGAATTTACATTATTGACAAAAGGCCTGGTATTTCCTGATTGAGAACCAACTTGTACATATTTAGAAAGCAATTATTAGAATTTATTTTTTCACTTGAGAAATATTTTATAAGCAAAGAAGAATATTGCTATTTAATTACAAGGTGTTGATAAGAGTTTAGTATCAGATACAGTCTGTAGGTGTCATATATAGAGGAATTAATTAAGTAGTACAAAGTTAGTTCAGAAGGTGTTTATTTTTATTTGGGTTATTGCCAACTGAGGTGTGTCATTTACATTGAGTTTATTTTTTTTTTTTTTTTTTTTAAGTTTTCAATTGGTGTCAATTGAAAACTGATTGTTGATTTAAAACTTAGTTAAATTTAAGTGAACTTGGAATCACTTGATAGTAAATCAAATTAAATTTAAAGACAGCTATTAATAAATTTATCAGGATATAAAATAAAATTTAAATAGCTATACTAAATTGAAATAAATTAAACTTTAATTAAATACATTTAGTCGAGTAAAATACAATTTAAAATAGCAATGTAAAAGCAATATTAACCACCAGACCCTCAAGAACAATTGTCCATATCAACTTTTGAAATAATCCTACATAACTGTACAAAATGGGAACGCCAGAGGAATACCAGAAATTAGTTGAAACCCTTCAGGGTATGGAAGTAGTACCAAAAGCTGATTCTAAAGAAGAATTAATCAATTGGATGAAAACGTACCTGGTAAAAGAGAAAGTGGAAATCAAGATTGAACCTGGAACTGGTGCGAATGCTGGTGCCATTCCTAAAACGACTACCTATATTCATCCTCCTGCCATTAGTACATTTTCAGGAACAGATCCAACAGGAAAGAGTGCTACTACATTTGACCTATGGCTGTATGAAGTCAAGTGTCTTATGATTGAGAAAACCCATTCACAAGAAGCAATTGCTCAGGCAATTAGAAAATCATTGAAGGGCGAGGCAGGACGGACTGTAATGAGACTTGGACCTAAAGCAAAGATTCCAGAAATATTGGATAAACTTACAAGTGTTTATGGAGACGTAGATGAGAAAGAATCTATCCTTAGTGAATTCTATGGTGCAAGGCAGAAACAGACTGAAAACATCACAGAATGGAGCTGCAGATTGGAAGATATTCTGGGAAGAGCGATAATGACAGGTCAAGTTTTTGAAAGCAGTTCTGACAAGATGCTACATGATATGCTATGGAAAGGATTAAGACCAGATTTGAAAGACATTACACACTATGAGCGAGAGAAATACCACTCATTTGATTCACTTCGAGTAGCATTGAGGAAAATTGAAAAAGAAAATCAACAAGAAAGTGAAGGGAAAATTTCTAAACAGCTATCAAAGAAGGCCATTGTTGAAGATACATCATCATCAGATGAGATAAAAGGAGTATTAAAGCAAATTACACACAGATTAGAAAATCTAGAGACTGCACAACGAGGTAGATCAAAATTTAGAACACCATTCAGAGGATCACGGTATCGAGATCAGACCTACAGGGGTAGAGGATTGAGAAATGATTTTACTCGAACGAAGCAAAGCAGTAAGGAACATTTTACTTTTCCTAGCATTACCTGCAGACGTTGTGGAAGAGAGGGACACCACGAGAGAGGATGTCGTGCCAACACTGATGTCCATGGAAAGAATTTAAACTAGATGCTGTCTATGCGCTAGGGTCGGCCGTAGACAAACAACCTAAGGACCCTTTGATTGCAAAAATGGCTAAATATTTACCACCTGGAATATGCGGTAAACCTACAGAAACCAGTATTATTATCAACAAAATAGAAACTCAAACACTTTTAGACACAGGATCAACCGTTTCGACTATCAGCAGAAAGTTTTATGAAGAAAATTTGAGCAACATTCCTATCCAGAAATTAGAGTTATTACTTGATATTGAATGTGCAGATGGAAAATCATTACCCTATGAAGGATTCATTGAAGCTGAATTAGAAGTACCTAAAATCAGACATAAATTTAGTGCCATTTTATTAGTCATTCCAGAGAGTAATTACAACAACTCAGTACCCCTACTGCTTGGAACGAATGTCTTGGGTGTGATTATGGAAATACTTCAACAACAAGAAGGTGAAAAATATCTACAGAAATCTAACTTGACAACCGAATGGTACCTTACATTTAGATCCATACACTTACGAGAAAAAGAGTTGCAGAGAAACAGTTCAAAGTTGGCCATTGTGAGAAATGCACAAAAGAGAATCATTATTCCACCAAACAGTAATATAACTTTGACAGGATATTTGGACAAGAAGATTCCTTATCACCATACAGCAGCTATGTTACAGAGAACAGAAAGATCAGCAGTACCTGAGGATTTAGATATTGTACCATCTCTTATGGAGTACAGATACATGGACAGCAACTTGACAGAAGTAGAAATCAGCAATATAACAACCAGAACTGTATCAATACCAGAGAAGGCTATTATCTGTGAAATACAACCAGTATCCATTGTACAGAACTCCACCTATGCTACTAACAATGAATCACTACAACAAATGGATAAAATCACCATAGATGAGAAAACTTTGACAAAGGAAGAACTTGTTCGAGGAAGAAATATGATATACAATTATGCAGATATATTTTCAACAGGAGATACTGATGTTGGACATGTAAGAACAGTACAACACAGGATTGAGTTAGAGGATGAATATCCATTCAAGCAACGTTATCGAAGAATTCCACCATCAATGATAGGCGAAGTTAGACAACATCTGAAATTATTACTACAATCTGGCATTATTAGAAAATCTCATTCTCCATGGTCTTCCAACATTGTATTAGTCAAGAAGAAAGACAACTCTCTTCGTTTTTGCATTGATTTTCGACAGTTAAACAAGAGAACAAAGAAAGATGCATATGCACTACCTCGTATTGAAGAACTTTTAGATTCCATGGCAGGCAACAAATACTTTTCAGTCATCGATATGAAATCAGGATATCATCAAGTAGAAATTTTCGAACCTCATAAAGAACGCACTGCTTTTACAGTCGGCCCACTTGGACTGTACGAGTTCAACAGAATGCCATTTGGTCTGACAGGAGCGCCAGCCACTTATCAAAGATTGATGCAGGATATTTTGGGAGAGTTGCACATGAAGATCTGTTGTATATTCATAGACGACATTATCATCTTTTCATCTACATTTGAAGAACACCTAACAAGACTGAAGCAAGTGTTTGATCGGATCAGAGATGCCAACTTAAAACTATCACCAAAGAAATGCTCATTTTTTAAAACCAAAGTCAAATATGTAGGACACATTATATCAGAAGAGGGTGTAGAGACTGATCCAGAAAAGATTGAAAAGATCATCAATTGGCCTACTCCAACTAGTCCTGAAGAAGTCAGAAAGTTCATTGGATTTGCAGGTTATTACCGAAGATTTATTCAACACTTCAGCCAAATTTCAAAACCTCTTACTGAACTTATGCCAATCAACAATAAGAAGAAAACCAAGAAGAAACCAGTAAAGCAGAAAGAATGGATTTGGGAAAATGAACAACAAGCAGCTTTTGAAACATTAAAGAAGAAACTTTCAA